CATAATCCCAAGTTTCCACAGAATAAAAACCAGTAAGAACAAGACGAAATACACACTGGGCTGATTAATTAACTCTGAGCTGTCATTTTGTTTTAATTCAACACACATGAAAATAAAACAGGAATAGGAATGCCAATAGGCATTCCTTTTGGTCCCATAGGAGGTGTGACTGCTCCCATAGGGACTTTATCGGAGCCAGACCATTAGAAATATTTATCGGTCAAACGAAATGTTTTGTTGGCCAGAGAGGTATGCCTAGGCCAATTGTGCATGTGTATTTGAGCAATAGAAACCAATTAGACGTATGTCTGTCAGAACGATATAAATGCATATTAAACGCAACAATTGAGAATCGGATCAGAGGGAATATGTTTCTGTGCTTTTGGAAAGCTGTGTTTGGACGAAGCTGATATATTTGTCAGACATCCAATTGAGGTAAAAATAGTACCGGTCAGAAATACACCGGCCCATTTGATGCACGTGTTATGTAGCCTGGGCAGTATGATACAAATATCTGTTCCACGTCCAAAGAATGTGTTGCTAGAATTCCAGCATGTATAAAAGTACATTAGACAAGTTAATTATGCGGCAGTGTTACGCTTATTTTTCAATATTTTCGGACGGCAAAAATGGTCTCAGCCCAGGTTACATAACACACCATCGTCGTACATCGATGGGGTTATGAATGCTCAAAGGGACTCGTAGCTCGAAATTAATGCTAGTATCAAACACTCAGATACAGTCACAATTTAGATGAAAATAGCCTATTGCATGCTTGGCTTTTCTGAAGGAATTTTAGGACCATACTCTAAATAAAGCTTAGGAGCATGGTGCGGCAAAATAATGTACTAATCAAATTCTGTAAGCTGAGCGTAAATTAAAAGTAATCTCCACAAAAAAAAAAAAATATAAAAAAAAAATAAATCTGCTTTCTACTGAATTGCACCCGAAACAAATAGCGCGTCGGTGCTAGTTCGGATTTACACATTTATTTCCTGTGCTTATAATAATGACTGTATGCACCCTCTTTTACTCTTAAGTTTCTAAAGACATATTTACGGCGCCCCTCTATCGCGATTTGGTCAGTTTCGGCTTCAGTATTGTAACTTTTACTGGTTTCGGTTTCGTATTGTAAGGATCGCGCCTTCAACGCCCCATCGGTAGCGACACCGCGACACCAGTTCTTTGCTTTTTCTTTTCACGGCATGAAATGGCGACCGTTGCGTTTCTCGTGTGTTGGGTATTGTGTGTCGCGGGATGGAAATGCCTTTAGACATGGAAATGTGATAATTTAATCACGTTTATCTATCTGTGAAGTTTCCTCCCGTGATGATTATGTTCAAGAAGAGCGCGGAAGACCGACGACGCGACAGAACCAGCAACTCAACGCAGTTGGTAAGCATGCTTCTTTGTTTGCATTGTACGCGTTGAACGAGAAGTGAACATTAGGGAGTTTTAGAATAACGTTGTGGTTGCTGTGCATGCGCAGACCCAAAGCAAGCATTCGGACTGGAGCTTTGGGGCCTCTCATTTCTCGAAAATAGCGTGGGTACCGCAAAAGGTGGCGCCCACGAAATCTCCGTTGATCGCGTCTTCGACGCCGTCGCCCGCTCGGGAACTGCGTGAATTGCACTCGGCGACCGCAGTCGGTATGGTCGGAGCGTATTGAAAACGCCACGGATCGCTGGATTCACAGCTGAAAGCTATCGAAGCGTGTGTACTTACGATCGCGGCAGACATGTAAACATGCCTGGGTAGTGGATCGTCTGGGCTTCGTAAATACAACAGAGCAGCTTGGCAGTGACAAAAACAAAACATGCGCATTCAGTATAAAACAACTATAAAAATGTTACTCTGGACGAAAAACTTGTTTAATTTTCGAGATATAACGTTCTAACATCCGAATAAAAGCTGTCGCGACATCTTGGTGGCGTTTTAAGCGCGACATGATTGCGTTTTGGGGAGTCCCCGGCAGAGAAACGTTATTCTAAAAAAATCTTCGCCGCAATCCTCGCTATTTTGCCGTCCGTAACGCGCGGTAAAGTAGCGCCCGGTATTCTAAAACTCCCTATTTTCTCGGCAAACGTTCGCTCGTTAAGCTTGATTTTTCTTTCTTTTTTTTTTTAACTAGTTGGGTTTGCTTTATCTGTCCTTATGTTTGGGTCTCTGCGAGGCATCATGAAAAGTTGCCACTCATTCTGTGTATGGTCCTAGAAAGTGTAGCTTATGTCAACAGAGCACTTATTGAATTCCTAATGCTACTTTCAGTCCGTTGCTTTAGAACATGTCTTATTGGTCTCGCAGTGTACTGATGTCGGTCAACTATAAATTGATTACGTCGATCGTACTTCATTACATTTCAGAAGTTAGACTTCCTTGGAATTCTACATGTTTAGAATTGGTTGGTTGCCATATTTTAATTATTGTATTCCCCAACCAGAGAGATTTCTCTCAAATGTTTAGTTTCAAATTCCTTGGAATTCGGTTCATGCAGAGCCAATATTCCTTTGCAGTCAAAATGGTTGAAGAGGATAGCCATCTTTTGTTTTGAAGTTATGGAAGTGGACTGGATTGTACTGTTAGGACAAACTTCGGTCCCTTGGCTTTCTAGAATTGAACTGGGTTTAAATTTGTAGGTAAGAATTTTTGATAAGGCGTTTGTTCCTTTTTTGCTTCTTTCTTTTCTCTTTCATTTTGCAACTGTGATGTGATCAAGTCGAGGGCCGCAGTTATTCCCAAATGCAGAAGCAGCTGTGTGTTCCCAGCTTGCGTCACTTCGATTCATTTCAAGGCATGCCACGAAATGAATGCCCCTGTTCATACAAAGTTGGAAGTGGGACTGGCTTCAAAATGCAGTTCGACACAGTGTTTGAGCGATATGGGACGTGTGTTGAATGACCTACGTGGTTGTCACAGGTTCGTTGTTGGTCAACCCAAAACGCTCCAAGTCCCACTTCCTTCTCGTTTTCCTCTTCCCATGTGTTTGAAGCTCGGCCGGCATTATACTCTGTTTCATACTTAGCGTGCAACGTCAAAGCCAGAGGTCGGCATTTTAGGTTTGCCACTCACTTTCACCTTCAAAGACACACTCACCTAAGCCCCTCTCTCACCCTCACCCTCACAGCTACACTCACCTTCAGCCCCTCACTCACCCTCACCCTCACAGTCACACTCACCTTCAGCCCTTCACTCACCCTCACTGAACCTCACGGCCCTCACGCACTCACCGCCCTCACGCCCCTCACGGCCCTCACGCCCCTCACGGCCCTCACGCCCGTCACTCACTCACGGCCCCCACGGCCCTCACACCCCTCACTCACTCATGGCCCTCACGAAACTCACCGCCCTCACGCCACTCACCGCCGTCACGGCCCTCACCACCCTCACGGCCCTCACCGCACTCAGCGCCCTCACGGCCCTCACCGCCCTCACGGCCCTCACCGCCCTCACGGCCCTCACCGCCCTCACGGCCCTCACCGCCCTCACGGCCCTCACGCCTCTCACCGCCCTCACGCCACTCACCGCCCTCACGCCACTCACCGCCCCTCACCGCCCTTGCGGCCCTCACACCCCTCACGCGCCTCACGCACTGGTGGCCCTCACGCCACTCAGGCCAGCTTCAGATGGGGCAATTTCGCCCAGAAACTTTACGTCGCAACAGCAGCAACACGGGCCGTCCGCGATCACACGCAGCAACCAATTGCTGCAATTTGCCATCGTCATCATAAAATTTTATTTTTCTTGCACTATTTAGACACAATTACGCGTTATAAACGTGTTTTTATGCATTTAAATCTTGTTAAGAATACTAATGCACCCTTCTGAAACAGTTTATTTCCAAAAAACGATCGATTTGAAACCAGAACCAAGTATTTCGGTGTCATCATCACCGGCACGAGGTATCACGTGAAAATTTTGCGTCCCTGATTGGATGCAGCCGCTTCAAACGTATTCGAATTGCTCCGAGTTTCTTGCTTATTTCGAGCCGGACCCGATCTCAGCAATTCGTGTCGATCTAGGGAAAGCTAGAAAACAACCCGTCATTAACACCAAAATTGCTGAGAAAGATGCTCCATCTGAAAAGGACCTCACGCACTCACCGCCCTCACGCAATCATGGCCCTCACACACCTCATGCACTCACCGCCCTCACGGCCCTCACGCCTCTCATGTCACTCACTGCCCGCACGCACTCATGGCCCTCACACCCCTCACGCACTCACCGCCCTCACACCACTCACGCGCTCATGGCCCTCACGCCACTCACCGCCCTCACGCCCCTCACGCACTCATACCCCTTACCGCCCTCACCGCCCTCATGGCCCTCACGGCCTTCACGGCCCTCACCGCCCTCACGGCCCTCATGGCCCTCACCACCCTCACGGCCCTCACCGCCCTCACGGCCCTCACGGCCCTCACGGCCCTCACGGCCCTCACCGCCCTCGCAGCCCTCACGGCCCTCACCGCCCTCACAGCCCTCACAGCCCTCACTCACCCTCACTCACCCTCACACTCATGAATTTTCCTGGTTCAGAAACTCACTCACCCTCACCTCACCTGTGAAGATGAGGGTGAGTGAGGGTGAGTGAGGGCCCTCATGAGTGAGGTTTGCCGAGGTATGGTCAAAGCTACTGGTGCGAGTGCGTGGCTTCATCTACGGTTTTGTTTGCGCGAGAAGGCGTGTAAATGATCAACGAGATCAAGCCCCACGCTCGCGCCAGTAGCTTTGACAGCGTTGCACCCTAAGTATAAAAGGGGGTATAGTCTCATCCAAGTTCATGCCTTTGGCGCTCAGGTAAACATGTGCGAGGATTGCAATTGAACCCCCCCCCCTTTCCCCCAAACCACCCTTAAACAGAACAAAATGACAAAAAAAAGACAAAATTTTTGGCAGCGGTGTTCGAGAGAAACTGCCGACTTTTAATTACCCTGCCTGAAACTTTGCAAACATTTCAGTGTGGCTGCAGCTGTGAGGGTGAGGTGGATTCAATATGAAAACTAGACCCTGAAGCGACGCCTTCAGGATGCCGAAAATAATTATGGTAAGTTCGAAATTAACCCACTAGTATACATCCTAAATATTTGGGCCGGGTGTCGATTAAAAAAGTTTTAACCTAGTTAATTTGTCACATAAACTTTCAGGCATAATATCTTGAAAAAAAAAATGAAACTGGAGATGTTCCAAACTGGCTGAGGTAAAGCAGCCTTGCAGTGCACCAAGGTTTACACTGAACATACTTTTGTGTAGCGTCCACAAGGTGTAGCTCTTACATTGAAGTTTTATGAGTTAGTTTCTTCAATGTTTGAACTTTCAGCGTGCCAGCTGGGTAGTGCATAATTGTTTTTTTTTTTTTTTTTTTATAGCACAAGCAATATCTTAATCCTGGCGGCGGGAAGTTTCGGCTAGCAGTTGACATGGTTGGAAACGGTGTGCATGCTTGCTTTCTCTGAAGCGGCCAATGAAGCGAAATAACAGCATGTGCGGATTTTCCATGCATTTAATTTTTTGTTTCTTGTTTGTTTTAGGCTACATGGGCTCCCAGTACAAGGCGGTAGCCCACCAGGCGCTGACGACCAGCATGTCGTCTCTGCTGTGCTGTTGTGGGAAATTTAAAGGGTAAATATTGCAGCTGCAGTTTTTTTCTATTCTGTGCCTGCTACACTTCCTGCGAATTTCTGTGCAGGCTTTTTCTTTTTGTTTTCATGGTACTGTAAACTTTTGTTAAATTCCGTTGCAACTATAGAATAGCATAAGCCCCTCCCACAATTCCCTTTGCTCGCTATGATTGGCGGTGTCCCTAGGCTCTCCTCCTCTCTAGTGTTTGAAGGGCTTTGTGGGAGGAGCTTCTGCTATTCTAGAGTTGCAACAGAGTATAAATAGCGCTAACCACGGTTAATTTAATAATTTCGAAGAGTCCTAGCAGGCACCCATGCATTTTTATTTGAAGGACTCTGCATCATATTTTGAACCGAGAAAATGACCCCACGAACGGGAAAGCACGGGCCTTCTGCTACAAAATTACCCGGACCAAACTTTGTTTTCAAGATCAGACCGCAAAAAGTTGACTCCTGTCTTATAAACGGCGAGTAACAGAAATCCTCTGCTAGTCTCGCCACGTCAAGAAGCTAATGCTATGACCCCTATCTTGATTTGTTTAATTCTTGTTATGGCTGTTTTCACATCTGTTGTTTTCACTGTTTGGCCAAAAGTGAGTGGCAGGTCGCCATAGGTTTCCAGAAGAAAGCAGTCGCAAATGCAGAAATTTCTAGCAAGTTCGTAGCGCATTGGCGCTTCGTCGCAACGGAGGAAAACCTCTGCGGTATTGTTGGTGGAAAACATTAAGCCTCACGACCAGCAGCAACTTAATTGTGGATATACTGCGCCGTACGGCGTTTATTTGAGCTCTACTCGACACAAAATACTACAGGGGCACCTATAGGTATCCCTTTCTGGACTGAATGCGAAAACATTGCCATGCCTAGCGACACTTCCTTTTTTTTTCTCTCTATTAGGAATGGCAATGCTTTCGCATTCAATCCAAGTGGGGATACCTAAGTGCCCCTCTAATAATTTTCTTACGTTACATCATATGGCGTCACACATCCTGTATGCCATGTCACATGAAGTGTGATGTCATCGCACCGAGGACATATTATTATGACGATCTTTCGGGCACATCAACGCCGACGCCGTCTTTTGCCGTAATGGGACAAGCTTCTTTTTGATGGGAGAGTAATTCCGCATTCCGAAGCGACTGAGATAGCACAGCAGCTAGCATGACCGGCTCTCACACAGCAGCACCGTGTTCAAATCTCAGCCGTGGAAGCACATTTTATTATTTCTTTTATTCCTTCGTTGACATTTGGTACCACTCGGTTAACGCCGCCGGATGCCGGATTTTCCGCTCCATAATGCTTTCAAATTAAAAAGGCACATCCAGTCAGGAATGTGCCTCTTTGTGTGGTAGAGTCGCACAGCTGCCCACCACTTTGAAAATCTCAACTGAAGTACGAGGGGGAACTAGTAATCACCAAATCAGGTTCACGCCATTCATAGGCGAAGGATTTATTTCGGTGCACTGAAGATTTCTGCGGCATTTTCTTTTGTTAATTCATTGGCGCATCTCGCTGTTGATAGCAGTGCTGCACCTCGTTAGCTCTAACCGGCAGGATGGACAGCTCGGCAGACTCGTCGGCCGAATCCTCCGTGCGTAGTTTAGCGTTGTCTTTATGCTGCTTCAAGTAGGGATGCATGTGAACCAGGCACGTAGCCAGGGGGAGGCCCATGGGGCCCGCCCCCCCCCTTCCCCCTGAAATCTTCCATTTTGCTGGGACCTCCTCTCCCCCCTCCCCCTCATACAGCATTTTGTCATGGGCGCCGCCCCCCCCCCCCCCCCCCCCCCGATTCAAAACAAAATCCTGGCTACGTGCCTGATGTGAACAGTGCGCAAAAAACATGCCTCTTGCCCACGCTCCTAACTTCATTGCTGCTCGCGGGGAAATAGCCAAGTGGCGTGCGGCCATGTTTGGCCTAAGAAGTTTGTAAGACACTTTGGATGATGTTGTAATATTCCGTTGTAGGTCACACAAAAGTTGCGACAATTGTGTTTTTGTTAATACGGATTTCTTCTCGGATTTTGTCATAGGCAATTTTTTATCGTAAGTTTGCTTTTCGAATTCGGCCTCTGATGTCTCGATCCTCTCAATGATTCAAACTTCGTGTATTGCATCGATTGTGAAAGCTGCAGTGGACACACACCTATTCGGAGGATGGCTTTATGATCTGCGTAGAGCCCTATTACCGTTTCCTTCCTGTCTGTTGTGATTAAAAATTCTACTTCAAGATAGTAAACAAACACACACAAAAAAAAATACACAGGGACAAGAAGTGGACATAAAACACTGGCACCAGTGTTTACCACCACTGTGTGTTTTGTGGCGCTCGGTCCATGTGTTTTTTGTGGCGCTCGTCTAGGATCATGGACCAATTGGCCTGAATAACCATATTAATTTTTCGAGATGCTTATAAGTCATAGCTTTTCTACGTTCAAATGTGGTAAACTTTATAAGCGACAACATCTGCTCGCTTATCTCTGGTAGACCTTGCCAAAGCCAAAATAAAAGACTGCAATGCGGCGGAAAGAGCAGTGAGCGATTGATTCTCGCAGACTCGGGGACAAAATATACTTTGGCACCATAGTGCCCCTGACAATGTTATTTGTGTCACTCATTAAACTATCAAGGTTGTGTGTAAATTAAATGCCTGGGTGAGCAAAAATGTAGGAATTTTAAATGTGACTTTCCGCATTCAAGGCTGGTTCACACATACAGTGCAGCGTTAACTCAGCCCTGTTAAAGCAACGAGTCACTGCTACTTCCATGGCTTGTACCGTGTGTTCTGAGTTGCCTGCTTTCATAAAGGACTGATGTCCCGGTTTTTACTACTGATTCAGCGCTGAGGTAGTGCTGCGCTGTGAACAGGATACCTTGTTCGAACATTGAAGTTTAGATAAGCAGATCAATGTGTAACTGTGCATCTTTTTTCTTTATAGGTTACCAGTATAAGGTCTCCCGTGGACGGGAAGGCAGTACAAGGTCCCCCGTGGACACGAAGGCAGTGTACCGCATACTCGAATTCAGCATTTTTAATAAACCAGTCATTACTACTTCCCACGGTTTTATGCAGGCATTTTCTGAACCCTGCATGCATATATAGGCATACATGTAAGGGACACTTGCACCCACTTTCCCTTTCCCTTAAAACAGCGGTTACTTCCGGATCACATGTCATGCAACCTATTGCCGTCTTCCCTCTTAGTGCCCTCTATCTAGAAACCCTTGCTAGGAGTATAATTTCTAATACATTTCATTTGAAAGTCTAGATACACTGCTTTAAGTCTCTGTTGAAAATCAAGTGTTTTTTTTTTACTGCGTTGCAATTCAGGCTTTGATGGGCCATCTCATTAGGTATATTCCGACTGATCGCAATATACCAAATGAGATGCCACGTCAAAACCTTAAGTACAACGCGGTAGAAAAAAGCATTTCAGTTTCAACAGAGACTCAAAGCAGTGTATCTAGACTTTCAAATGAAATGTATTAGAAATTCTTATGAGGTGGCACGGCAAAACCTTAATTGAAACGCGGTGGCCAATTGTTTTCGTAAACTCCTTAGGGACTCGTTACAAAAAATCAATTGTCTTTCAACACAGACTCGAAACGGTGTCAGTAGACTTTGAAATTATATCCATATGAAATACATTAGAAACTTTATGCGGTAGCACGTCGAAACTTCAATTGAAACGCGGTGGCAATAGTTTTCGTAAACTCCTTACGGATTCGTTACAAAACTCATTTGCATTTCTATTGAGACTCGAAAAGATACAATGAGTAGACTGCGTAAACTTTCAAATGAAATTCATTAAACATTTTTGTAAGGGCTTAGACATACAGCCTTGACGGGCAGTCAGAATCACCTCCCGGGTGTGCTATTTGTGTGCATGCATTGTGTCCGTATTTTTTTTTTACCCATATGGCATATATATATACATTCATTGTTTCCGACATTTAGGTCCGAAAAATATATTTGTTGGGGAGGTGTGAGGTTTACTGAGCGCATGAGCAGGCGCGGAGAATGCGAAGATATATTCGTTGAGGATGTGTGAGGTCTCTCGAAGCACACGAGCAGACGCGGAGGATTCCAAGAAGCGGGTCCCGCGTGGGTTCGTTATCTGTTGTGTTTCTCCCCGCGCCTGGACGTCGGCGACTTGTTAATGGGAGCGGGACGAGAGCGGGACGCGTCCCCCGTACTTCGGAATGTGCGCCGCCCGTTCGTAAGATGTGAAGAGCCTCTGACCAAGGGTTTCTTGGTGGTGCCTTCGGGAGTCGGGTTCGCGGCCCGGGGGTCTGACCTTCCAGTCGCTGACGGAGACTGCCGGGCCGCCGACATCTATGTGTGTGCCTGTGTGTATGTGTGTTTCTGTGTGAGTCTTTTTGGAGTGCTTTTGTTGGTTTTATGAGTGGTCTCCCTGATTGGCCGCGAGAGGACCTTTTGTGATTGGTCGGTAAACCCGCGGGGCAATGAGGGAACTTATATAAGCGACCGAAGAAGGGGCCGAAGGGGTCTCGGCCCATCAAAAGCGTCTTGTAACTTTCAACTGTTTTGGTCTTGTAAATATATTCATCCTTCTCATCATCGACCGTTGAGCCCCGTCTTCAAACCCTTCGTCGCTGCGATCTGGCGACCTGCCGCCTCTGCCTTTGAACATCATCACCGACGCAATCCTCACGGAAGGGAAACGAACAAACTTCACTTGCAGCACGCTTTGCTTCGCAATGTTGGTTTATTCTCACAGTGATCTGCGAGATGCTCTTTGCTAGAGCACCTCCACACGTGTCAGATCCGCGACAGCTCCGCGTGCCGTGGCCGAATCGCTGGCACTTGAAGCAGAGCAGCGGGCTCGGTGTGTATGGCCGGACGCGGCAATGCAGGTAACCTGCCTTGACAGCTTGTGAAAGGATGATCATTGCAAAAGTCAGTACAGCATGTTTTGTTTTGTGTTTTATGCGGTCACTTCGAAGTGTGATGAGCCGTACGGCGGTCACACATTGGCTGGAAAGGCCCTCTACGATTTCTGTTTCTGAAGTTTCGAGCAAATCATCTTCGGAAATTACACCTTGTAGCGTATTTATTGTGCGGTGGGGGTTACGTTGACTTTGTAATCGGAGACTGAGTTCAATGCTAGAAGAGCATCACTCTGGATATTTGTGTGAATCTCTACGAGGAGGTCACCTGATGTCATCTTATTAACCTGAAAAGTCTTTTCCACAACACCCTCTAGTGTTTTCGCGACAAGAAAAGGGGACAGTTTACTTAGTGGTTTCTCAGTTTCGGAGTGCATCACCAAAAACTTAGTATACTGCGCAGTAATTACTGCTGAAATATCAAGTGTGCGAGCTTCTGTGCGTACTCTTTTTAGAGGCCAATCAAGGAAGGATTTGTTGTGCAGACCCATAACGATGGGGAAGACAATTCTGTGCCCGGGTGCATCGCCCACCACGGAGCCCAACAAGGGGGTAGGTAATGTGCCATAGCAAGAAAGGCTTGGCTGACGCAATTGCTGTACCAGTGCTGTCCGGGCACTATACTGTGGTGTGGTCGCAGGGAAAGGTCCTGTTTCCCCTCAAGGTTGGCCCTTGGCGCCTAAGAAAATGAAAAAGGAGGGAAGAGAGTGTAGGAGAAAAGAAAAAGAGGTAGAAGGAATACTGAAAGAACGAAGAAGAGGGTAGAGGAGGCGAATGACTGAATCACCCTAGTCGGGCCAAGCCAGGACACCCGTCTACGAGAAGCAGGGGCCAAAGCGGTATATTGCCTCGACCGGGGTGCCCCGAAGCGTCCAAACGTACCCCGGGCTCAGCTCAACCACCAGGATTCCCTTCTCCCCTGACACGGTTAAGCCACGCACAGTCAGGCGTGGGTGGGCAAACCTACACGGCTCGGGGTTCGTAGTGACCCCACTCACCAAGCATCTATTAAAGTAGGTGCCGCCTTTGTACACTCTTAGAAAAAAGGGGGCCAAAAGCAGGTAACAGACCGCCTTTACCACCCTCCTCGCGGCTAGGGGGGGGGGGGGGGGGGGGGGGAGCGCTCCGCTTGTTACTTTTACAGGCGCAGCAGACACTAGCAATGCGTTGCTACAAGGTGAAGTTCGCCACGAAGGAGCAGCAACGAGTTGAAATAATACCTTCCAGAGGATGCACCTGTTTGGGCGTTGCCAGAGCCTGGGCGCTGCGATTGGCTGTGGAAAGCCGCAACCGAGTTCGTTAATTGGTGTCCTCGTATGACGTCATTCTTCGCGCATGCGTGGGCGAGCGCCTGCCCGCTGCCGAGCGCGTTCCCCGCCGACGCTTCCCTCCAGTCATAACGGTCTTTCTTCTCGAACGTTCGACGGAGGCATCCCAGCTCAGGAACGTTCTTAATTCTTCTGTTCGACTCAGTCTCTTCTTACGAAGTCACCGAGAGCGCAGCATTGGCTTCAGTCGAAGATCCAAGTCGTGTGCACCGTATGCAGGTAGGAAAATGTTCTGCCCAGGGCGACGCTTGGCTTCGGTTATGACAAACCCGGGAAGGCGAACCCCCTACACAAATGAGTGGCGGATATGTCTTCACGTTTGAAGGCGTCGAGCGTTCGATGAAATTGTGTGGCGCGAACGAACACACGGTTTAGACCATTGAAGCTCATAAAAAGCAAGAACTAGAATGCTGTCGCTTCCCCTAACGTATATTTAGAAGATTGACATATGCTAACCAGTGGCGTAGCCACGAGCTTTTCCCAATGTATGTGTGTGCGGGTGGAGGAAGGGGAGAGCGGCTGCCCGGCGAACCTGGAGCCGGGCGGCCGGGCGAATAGACGCCTTGTGAATCGGGGGTCGTATTTTATTTTTTAATGCCTTTATATGCAGGTTTACGAATTTTTTTTATGTCGTCTGTTTAATGGTTTGTTTTGTCTGACATATGTTGATGGTTGATTCCGAGAGTTGCGGAGGGGTAATGATATTGCTTTATAGTCACATTTTTGTGATTTCCAGAATCACTGCTTTTTGCTTTCTGCAGCATTAGCATACTTGATTTATTCTAGTCTACTTAATACTTGGTGCCTGGAAGCATTTGAGGGTTGTGGTTTTATGTTCACATAGATTTGTGCTTGCAAGGTTTAAATACAAGATGGATTGTGATGGCTTGCAGGGTTTAAATACAAGATGGTCAAAACTGATTTTTACGATTCATTTGAAGTGGGCTAGCTTTTGGCCCTCGCGCTAGTCTGTTGTAGCTCAAGCAAATATGCTTGCTGCGATTACATCTTTGCAACGTGATGAGCGAGCGGCCGATGACAGGGCCATACTTCTTAACAATAGGATTACTAACATTGAGCATGACATCATGGCATTGAAGAGTGCATCAGCTCAGCCACTATCACCTAACAGCCCTCTGAATACCACCCCACCGGAACTTTCTGAATTAAAAGCGAGGTGCGACGACGCCGAGAACCGTCTCCGTCGATCAAACCTACTTTTTGGTATACAGGATTCCCAGAGTGAAACGTGGGCGAAGTCCGAAAAAGTTGTTATTAATTTCTGCTTACATAGATTGGGCATCGAGCTCGATACTTCCAACCTCGAAAGGTCCCATCGCTTAGGACGCTTCACTGAAAACAAATCCCGCCCTATAATTGTCAAGTTGCTACGTTTTAAAGATAAGGAATCAATCTTGGCGGCCGGTCACAAACTAAAAAATACTACTTTCGCCGTTCGTGAAGACTTTTCTGAATCAGTTCGCCTAGCGCGCGGAAAGTTATACCAGTTTGCAGAGCCGGAAAACGTGTCCTTTAAAATCCGCTTTGATAAACTTCATATTCATAACAAGCGTTACATTTACGATCCGATTAGTGACTGCGTAAAGGAGCTTGAAGCATAACTAAATGGGAATAAAAAAAACCGCCTCCCGACACCAAGCAACTGTCGTATCAAAACTAAAAAATCGCAGTCTCATGTTGTTACTTTTACAAATGTTCGTAGTTTCCTGCCTCAGAAAGATGAAATATGCAGTCTTCTCGAGGACTGCAACTTCGACATAGCTATATTTACGGAAACTTGGTTAAAACCGGACGTTAACGACGATGAGCTTTTTTATTCGAACATGAACTTCTCTGTATATCGTTGCGATCGGCCTCGGCAGCGTGTTGGTGGCGTCCTTGTGGCCATAAAAAAAGAAATGCCTTCATTTTACGTTCAACTATCCTGCGATCTTGAGCTATGTTGTGTTTGTCTTTCATCGCAGTTTAGCAAAACGCTTCTTGCAGTGTGCTATAGGCCCCCAGGTTTTGACTGTTCTTTTGTTAATAAACTACATACTGCCCTAAACGAAATCACGATACGATTTCCCAAAACGATTCTTTTACTGTTCGCTGATTTCAACTTCCCTAAATCAACTGGCAGTTACTCACATCTGCGTCACGTGATTCCAAGCACTTTCTTGACGTTTGCATGTTGTTCAATCTTAATCAAATGATCGACAAGCCTACCCGTGATGATAATATCCTTGATTTAGTCCTTGTATCATGGCCTGATCTTGTGCAATCTACTATTTACGTGCCTGGTCTTAGCGACCATAGAATAATAAATATATTGATCACACTGCCTGTTCTAGTTAAATCCCCCATGTCTAAAGTCATACGCGATTTTAATAAAGCTGATTACGCTGGTATTAATGCTAAGCTCACCATCTTTTTTGACGTCTTTCTATCTTATTTTTTGTCGCGGTCCGTAGAGGAGAATTGGTTGTTATTTAAGCAAAAGGTTACTGACCTGATCAACTTACAGGTTCCCTTGCTGCGGGTTCGTGGAGATGCTGGGCAACTATGGTACAATAAAAAGCTGAAATCAATTGATAACAAAAAGAAGCGCCTTTTTCGAAAAGCGAAGGCTAGTGGTTCTTCTTTTGTGTGGAATAAGTATTTTCAGTGCCTAAAAGAGTACACTGCGTTAATTAAAACTTTCAAGAAGTATTTTCATCAAGACTTGCCCAACATTCTTCGAACCAACCCTACTAAATTTTGGAAAACGATTACACCCGATCCTAGTATGCAGCCCATTGAGCTAGTTGACAAGGGCGGTGTTGTTGTGCCCGGCGAACTTGCCCCGTCAGTAATGAATGATTACTTTTCTTCCATCTTCACAACGGAGCCACCAGATAATATTCCCTCCCTCCCTCTACTTCCGTTTTCCCAAATGCCTCCGATCACTGTCACTGCATCTGGAATTTCTAATCTTATAGATAAACTGAAGGTCTCCTCTGCCCCGGGACCTGATACAATTTGCTCGAGAATACTGAAGAACACGAGAGACATCTCCTGTTTATTTCTCCAGCTAATTTTTAACCAGTCATTGTCAGACGGCTGCGTTCCAACGGACTGGAAGATTGGCCGGGTCATTCCTGTCTTCAAGAGCGGAGATCGATCCCTTCCTGATAACTATCCTCCCATATCGCTCACATGCATTGCATCGAAGCTTTTAGAGCATATCATCCTCTCTAACGTTATGAATCACCTAACCTGTAATAACTTTTTTTTTCCAAAACCAGCATGGTTTTCGCCAGGGTTATTCTTGCGACGCCCAACTTTTTGAATTTTTTCACGAGCTGCACACTAACCTTGGCTCGCTCTCTCAAACGGATGCCATCTTCATAGACTTTTCCAAAGCTTTCGATCAGGTTCCTCACCTACGCCTACTCGCAAAACTATCGCGACTCAATATTGATCCCTTAATCGTATCTTGGATTCGCAGCTTTCTCTCATCCAGAGTCCAATATACAGTCGTCAACACTTTAGAATCAAACCTTACCGATGTTTTGTCTGGGGTCCCACAACAGTGTCCTAGGTCCGCTTCTTTTCTTGATCTTTTTTAACAACCTTCCAAATTCTATCACCTCTAACATTCGTTTATTTGCTGATGATTGTGTCATTTATCGCCAAATAAATTGCTCCTCCGATCAGCTTCTTCTTCAGAAAGACCTCGATAATGTAACCAAATGGTGTGATCAATGGCTAATGTTACTAAACCACTCTAAATGTAAGTTTGTCTGTTTTTCTCGAAAACATTCCCCCTCTCTTTTCAAATATTCTCTAGGCTCATCAACAATTGAGTGTGTTCAATCGTACAAATACCTTGGCGTTCATTTTTCTTCCCGTATGTCTTGGACCCTCCACATTGACTCCATACATGCCGAAGCTTCCAGAACGCTTGGTTACATTCGACGTTGTCTGCACTCAGCCCCTCCAGCTTTGCGCCAGCTGGCCTACGAAACTTTTGTGCGACCGAAGATTGAGTATGCTGCTGCCATTTGGTCCCCACACCAGATTTACCTCACTAACACCTTAGAATCTATTCAGAATCGTGCTGCCCGATTCATTCTTTCTAATTATGAACGCACTGCCAGTGTGTCGGCCATGAAGGCTTCCTTATGCCTCCCCACTCTCATTTCTCGCCGAAGAATATCACGCATCTGTCTTTTCCAGAAGATTTTTTATTACCACCCTCTACTCAGACAGTCTTTACTGTTAAAACCGCATCGTTCATCCCGACGACTTTCTAACTCCCTTAGTGTCCATGGTTCCACTGTCACCTTTAACAACTCATTTCTCCCCCTTGCCATAATATAGTGGAACAATCTATCGGACCATGTAGTGCTCATCAGTGACCCGACCTCTTCAGACATGCTGTATCGTCTATATTTAATATGTAATCAGTGCGATGCTCCTACCTATGGCCAGTGCTCAGCCACATCTTGTTTCTATGTTTTGTTTTTTTTGTTTTTATTGTATAAAAATTCTACTTGTGTGCTTCTTTCTATTGTCCCCCCCCCCCTTATGTAATGCCCCTGGCGGGGCCTTTAAGGGATAATAAATGAAATGAAATGAAATTTGCAGCAGGATATACGACCCCTTTCTTCTTTCTATATTAGAAGAGAAAATTCCAGAGTCTACTTTCATCTACTCAAGCATTCATTCCACTACTGTGAATAGGACGGGCATAGTGTGCTGCTGTGCTTGAGTTGCAATGCACTAGTCATTACTAGTCATGTCTTGGTTTCTATTGATTTTTGCAATATGTGTGATACCGAATGTATGTTATATCACAGTGCGTCCACACTGATACTGGTTAGTACAAGACTCCGTCATTTGAGCTCACCCTGATGAAGCTTCGCTATTCCAAGCAGTGTTCAAAGCATTCACTTTTATTTGCCGGGTAGACGCTGATTGTTTATGCACCTTTTTGTGATAATTTTATTGACTCTCACGAACTAAAGTCCCGAAAGTATTGTTCCAAATGCCTTTATTGCGCTTATAACTTTTATAAGATGTCTAGTCGTGCTATTGATTCTTATGCCATTTTGTTTGTGACAGCCGCAATAAAGCATTGTCATTTACTTTCAGAACTAGTGCCGTCTTCATCTACTATAAGGCCCACTCTTGAAGCATGTACTATCACACCCACAAAGGGTCATAGTACCTTCCTTTAGGGGGGAAAAGAGATTCCATCAAGTGTACACTTAGCCTGTAGTAAGGTGGTGAACTGGATCACTTGGTTGATGTGATGGGAAAACAGCTCAGAAAGCGCGGACTATTCGTTCGTCGTAGTCCGCGTTTTTTTTAGCTATTTACCTCATCGTGTACAAATAACCCTAGAGTTTATCATAGTTCCCTCCATAAGGGGGAAAAGTTGAAACTAGGGGCGTTTACTCTTGCCCCGTAAATGGGCCAACTGTTGTCTCTATATGGAGGGAAAACCAGCCCCCCAAAGCTGGTGCTGTTGACCCGAAAAGGAGGTAAAAGCAGCCCTCTCACATATGTCGTCTTACCTCTCAAGGGGGTTGAAGTTTCCCCCTAAAAGAGGTGAAAGCCGACCTTGAAAGTATGCACCTTTAACACTGAAAGGAACTATGGTTCCCTCCAAAAGGAGGCAATGTTGCACCCGAACCCTGGGGGTAAGTTTGCATCCTCGTTGAAGGGGGTAACGTTACCTCCAAAAGGGGTTGCCCTGTGTGCAAGTCGGTTACCCCCTCAAGGAGGGTACTACAGTATCTTTTATTTTTTTTTAAGAGTGTACTGGTATAGTGACCCACGTGGCTGGAATCCGTGGTGACGCTACTCACCAAGCACCTACCACCAAATGTGCAGACGCGCCCTGGAGACGGCACTCTCCAAAAACCTGCTTTCACAGGTGCCCCCTGCTGGGGCCACGACACATGATATGTTGCATTGATGTAAAGGTTTGGAAGGCGATCCCATCGCCATGTGTTGGTTTAGAGTGACATTAACCAAAGGTAAGGTTTCCTACTAAGCATAGATCTGAGGAAATACCTTTCTGTCTTCTGTTTTTCTAGTTATATTCATGTCTAACATCTCAATTACGTGAACCGACTAGTGTTGATGTTCCACGAAGGTTTGTCGACTGCTGATTCATCGCCAAAATTCCGTGAATCATAACCAATGATCTCACCGTACACAGGTTTGCAGCATGGTATTCCTCACGTGGCGCAACCATGGGGCTTGTCGCCCAACTTCACCATCATGCCTCAGTACCTGAGTGAGCTCGGCTACACAAGTCACATAATTGGAAAAGTAACTTTACTTCTTTTTTGTATTTTGCGTCTTTCTAAATCGTTGCAGGAATGGCAACAGAAGAAATCTGTAATGTTTACTTTGTTTGCAGTGGCATCTAGGATATTACAAGAAAATTTACACGCCAACGTACAGGGGATTTGATTCCTTCTATGGCTTCTACAACAATGGTGAAGACTATTACAGGCACGAAATCTACTTGGTGAGCACAGCCGCACTAGATGCGTAACGTATCTGAAAGTGGTGGGCAGCCACAGAGTTACCTATAGCTCAGAGCAGGCACGTAGCCATGATTTGTTCTCGAGGAGAGGGGAAGAGGCAAAATAATTTCTCGCTCTCAAAGTGCTCTGTTCCAGCACCAATGTTAATTATATGCTGTGCATTGAAGTATATTGGGGTCAAATTCTCACAATTGAAGTGTACATGTAAAATTTATGATACCGAGTGAGATCATCCAGTATGCCTCATTGTAATTACCTTTTCTACAAATGCACATGTTAGCTTTTTAAATTGCTTATCTATTCATGAATTTCCAGTATCTCGACTCAAAAATAGATAAATCAGGTATCAAATCAATGCAACCAAAAACAGTCGAATCCCCGATTATTCAGCGCATACCTTTGCACTTTAAAAAAAGGACTGTGTACTTCAGTGTTGATACTTGTCGCTTGCTGGCTCTCGAGCAGTTGCTGGCTCCGTCCTCGTTCATGACCCTCTTGTCGCAACGTTTCACCTTCCGTCACGGAACATCTCGTAGGCAAGATTGTCGCACCACGAACTTTGCACACTTGCGGGATTGCAAGAAGAGTCTGCTTTGAAAACTAACACTTGTCTTACCAGAGGGATAAAAGGAGAGACTTTGGGGCACGAGTAGATGCAGGATTAGCCACTCGACTCATCTCAAAGGTCTGAAAAGATCACGTTGGCGAACTTCAAACACACGTGCACACCCTTGCCCCACGGAGAGGACTGCACGGCGCCATTCACAAGCAAGGGTCATGGGGGCCCTTTAACAAATACAGAGGTTGTTGTGGGGGAGACTGGAATTTCTAACTTTTGACTTGCATCTGTTGCGCTACGCCGTAAAGTGCACCCTGTACTACGGGCGCTTCCGTTTGGCACCGTAAAAAGGGACGAAGATGAGCCCAGTGGAGTGCACTGCTCATGTTCAAGTTCTTTCCCTATTCTTTTTTTAAAGGGTGATGACCCAATTGAATTTTTGTTCTGGGGGGGGGGGGGGGGGAGGGCTAGCCCAGACGACACCCCCTCTGGTTACGTACCTGGCTCAGAGGGTCCGTGTCGCAAAAGACAGCACACGGAATCCTGTCTAGGATTTGAAGCCTTTTTTTCTCAAATATTGTTGATGGCTGTGGCTACGCGACGGACAGACCGGGTTAAGGATATTCGTTGACGATGTTTATTGACCCATGATTAGGTAATGGTAGCGTTGGTCAGTCCCATTTTGTGTCCACCTCGCGAGTATGCTGGTCCCTATTATATAACCACTGTGATGCGACGATATTGCGCCACCGGCGGGTCCCGGCGTGATTGGTGGTGGCAGTTGGCCTCGATCAAAATGAGGTTGAGCAGCCTCTGTCATTGGCCGGCCACTTTATGTCGTCGCAGCAGCAGCTCTGCTTGTCGTTAAAAGACGAGGAATACGGAGACCCATTTACGTTGCTAGCTTTGGCCGATGTTCGAAAGCCTTGGTTCCGGTTCTTCGAGGAGGTCTCTGTCGATCCATGTTGTTTCTGACCGTCCCTGAAAGTGCGCCGTGATTCGAGCACGTTCTCGTCGAGGTAAACATGTCAGTATTTATATCGGCTTCAGAATGTAATCTCAGCGTGCGCTTGTAGTAAAAAAGGAGAAATAACAGCATCAAATGTTGACAAATTCACATTTAGCAGCCACACCACCAATAAAAACCTTGCAAAACGGCTCTGCAGTTATCTTATTATGATTATTAATTGGGACATTCACCACTTATTCCACCATCGTACCGCTCGAGTAAAAAAAATTGCCAGTTTAAGCATGAGGATTATAATCTCTGTCGAAGGGGAACAAGGGGGACAAAGAGCATACACAAATCTCCAAACACAGCTAGGCGACTGGTGCGCGACCGAACCGCACCTGCAGTCACCTAGCTGTATTTGGAGAATTGTGTTTGTTTTTTGCCCCTATTATTCCCCCTCAGGATTATTATTGCCATACTCGTCCAGCTCGCTCGCACATTTGCATTAATTTTATTAACATGATAACCTTAATATGCAGGTCGTTCACCTTTGTTGGTGTTAGACAGGTGGCAGCTGATAAAACCCGTTTGCTCTACTGACGTCTAACTCCCGGTTAGCTCAGTTGGTAGAACGCTCCACTGGAAATAAAGCGATCCCTGGTTCGTAAACAGAATCAGGCGGATTTTTTCGGTCGCGCAGCAGTCACTTAGCTGTGTTTGAAGATTTATGTGCGTCCTTTGTCCTTCTTCTTCCCCTTCTTCAGTGATTATATTGTCACTCTTGTACTGCTCGCACGCACCTTTGCTTCAATTGCATTATCATCACTTCAAACATATCACAAATACCCTCTTTAATCTGTTCGACAAGGTACGTCCCATAAATACTGAAAGACCTTTCCATGGTTACTATATCTACTTTACTTTCAGAATACATTATAGTATGCTGGTTTGCTTGGGTAGTAAGCCTACAGTGCCAGTCTTCCCCTAACGGTGCAGACACCAACTTGTTCTAGAAAACACATACGAATCGCGATGTCTATGCGGTTTCGCTTAGGCTCTACGCCGAGGAAGAGGGCCACAACCCACGCATTAAGACTCCGGATTCGCCAGCACACCAGAGACGGCTCTCTGCGCTGTTTTGAGAAATGCTTACATCGATAGAAGAAGGCAGTCACTCCACCCTGTTCAAAGAGGAAAATCGCGAGGCTGTGCGCAACCAGACATTCCAACTACACAAGAGCTGTCGGTCACAAGGTCATAGGATTTTCGCGAAGTAAGATCTATTGATATGTAGAGTATTTGGCTGCCATGTCACTCTAAAGTCAACTCTGATGTGCTTTCGCTTTAAAGAAACTACGGCAATGTTTACATGGGCCCAAAAGACTGTAACGAGGAGGCGGTGATGTTCAAGTGCTGTGATGCAAGCAGACGACGAGCCGCCACGACGTCACGGTTCTTAGAATCACACGAACCACAGTCATTGTTACATAGTTGCGCTTCCTGTTCCGCGACGTCACCCCGAAATCTCGGCTTTCAGCAATCAAAACCGAAGTCGCTTAGTAAAAGTAACGCAATAAGTAATTTTCTACAGCACTAATATAATTAGATTTGCTAGCTATTGATGATGCCATACTAAACCTCAAGGGTAAGAGGCAACCCAAAACATTGAGGTCGTTACTTCTTTAAGTTTAATGAATTGGGTAGGCATTATAAAATTAAATCTCCGATCAACGAGGACTTTGAAAGGTGTAAAAGAAGTTAAAGTAAGCTTCGGTTAACGCCTAATGTAAAATAAGGTATAAGTGTATTAAAATATCAGTTTCTAAACGCAAAATTGCTGACAAATTAACAACAAAAAACAACATCCGAATTTTACACACAAAAAATGCGAAACCAAAAATTTATTAAAATATAGTGAAAACTCATGAAGCTCGTTAAATATAAGGCGCTTGACAGCTTCTCTTTAATAAGACGCATCATGAGCTTATTAAAAAGGGGGAACGTTCAACCTAGCCCTTATGAGGGACGCGATATCTCGAGGTGTCCTGGGCCAACTTTGCATGGGTGATTATGAAGATGGCCTTTGATTTAGGTGGATGATAAAGCGGCGAGGGACCAATTGATGTCTTCTGGCGTAGTTTGAATGGTTCATAATTCTAAGATTCTTTGTCGGTTGTTATTCTCAATGTTGATTGATGATGCGGGTGTTCTCTAAGTTGGCGAGGTGCGGTGGCCCTTGATGGCGGAACGTCCAGCGACCGCGCTGAGCTCAAAATTGAAATTTCGAACGTCTGCTTCTGGCAGATCCTTTCCCGAAAGTTCTTGATCAGAACTCCTTGAGTTCTCGCTTTAGAGGTCCATCTTTCGGTTGTGGCATTAGGCATCCAAGTGTTAATGTTGGCTTGTAGGCAATTTGGATCCCTTCTCTAGCCAGAAAAACGTGCTCCCTCTTTCTGGCATGTGCAAAAGAGAGGTCCGCCTTGCCCCAGTCTGACTCGCCTCAGTCAAATGTTCACGTTCAAATCATTGGCTTAGCACGTTTATAGCTTGGTTCGTTAACTTTACCAGCTGCTCTAAGCATTTGTGTTTCAGGAATATAAAAACGAAAGCTTCGTTGGGCTAGACTTTTGGGATGACACAACGCCCGTTCGTGACAAAGGGGGCGTTTACGCAACAAGGCTATACACGAAGAGAGCGATTTCCCTGATCAAGGATCACGATAAAAACAAGGTAAGTCGCGTTTTATCGCACGATTTCTACACACGGTGATCCGAATGCAGTTAATTCTCGTTAAAGGGAAGCCGGGGAAATTCTTGAAAAAAAAAAGTTTAGAAATAAATTTTATTACTTGTTCTTTGGTGTGTTTGAAGATTACAAGCATATGACTCGAACGTAAAAGTAAAAGTGTAAAGAACAAAATAAAACCCGCTAGGTGTGACTTCATCACCAGAGGTATCAACTGCATGGCTTGCGACTGCCATTTCCTCAACTTGATTTTGTGGAAACGCGTGCAGCATTTTCACTGCTTGGGAAAGGCTTGTAGAACGCGCGAAAATATGGAGATCACTGTATAATACGCCAGATTATGGTGCTTCCTTTCCATCTCGGCTGCACACTTTCGCTCTTGAAGATTCTCTCCTCCCACCGAAGAGGCCGGGGAGAAGGAGCATCAGCAGTGCTTTGAAACCGCTGTTGTGGACGTTTGGAGCATCAATCTAAAATATCACCTTTATATTTGTGATCCTGGAGGTCAAAATGAAGACGACATTAGTGGTTTTTTTCTTGCAAATATAGAACTTGCGTGTTGTCCCCTTTTTCATCCGTCGTCTCTGGTTTTCAAAAATCTGTAAACGCTTTAGCTTTTTTTTTTCAATGGTCAAAACTCAGCTGGTTCATAAATTTTTAATATTGGGAGTGTACTAAAATATTTTCGACTTTAAACACTCGTATTTAAGCGAATTAGACATATTGTTACGGTGAAAGATGCTTTCTTTACAGAAGATTAAGGAGGGTTGTAGGGAGAAGGATGAGGTGGGTAGGCTTTGAACTTGAGGGATCGAGAGATCGGGCACTTCTTCCTTTTTTTTCTGCCTGATTGCCCGTCTTTGTTTTCTTTATCTTGGTAAGAATATTTTCTTCTTTATTTTACAGCCCTTATTCTTGTACATGCCACACCAGGCCGTCAACGGTGGGGACGCCGAGTTTGGGTACAAAACTCCTGCGTCCGCCATGGAACATTTCCCCTACATTCAAGACTTGAACAGGACCATGCTTGCAGGTGAATATAGGCCTAAATATAGTGCCTTTCCGTATATTTTTTATTGCCCGGGTCGAATTACTACACACTCATATCTTCCAATTCCCGAGTGTAATTTATCAATATTAACGTATAGTTGAGGGAGTCCTTGTTAAATGGTAGAAAATCCCCTTTTCTTCTCCTAACTGACTGTCCTCTTTTTTTTCGCTGTTCCTTCCTAAGAGTCTGTCCGTCCCGGGAAGCAACGATGCAGTTACAGCATGAAAAATAGAGTTTGCGGTTGCCGACATGAGCGGGCAGAGTCCAGTGTTTTGCTCAATTAGGTATAACTTTGTATTTACTGGACGCGATATGCGTGAGGTCCCAGCCGCTTGCTTATTTTGAAAGGTACGCAATAGCTTTAAAGTATTTGCCCTGTTCACTGTGTACATCTAAGATGACTTCAAAGGAGCACATATACCCTGGCTTAAACAACATCCCAGAGGTTCCGCTTTTTAACGTGAAACATGCTTAGGCTGGGTTTTCAGATCAGTCGGAGCCACAAAAAGCGTAACCGAAAGTTAATGGAGTTGTCACCGCTAACTCGACTAATTCTATTAACACAAGCTCTAAATAAGTCTATATCTAGCTCTATCTACCTCTAACTAACACTAACTATCTCTAACTCTAACTAGCTCTAACTTTAATTCTAACACTAACTCACCACTAACGCTACTCCTATTACTTCGAATAGACTTACTGGTAAAGGTTTTGCATGACTTCCGGTTCTCTTAGATTTGGTAGTGTTTAGCGCATTAGGCAAGTGATACATGGAGCAACATACTGCCGAGCATAACCTCTCAGCCACTACCAGAACTTTTCGGATCCGTCCATCTTTTAACCGAAACAACAGGCCATGACCAGTGTCTATAAGACTATGATATGATGGTCTTTGAAGCATTTCGCCAACTTTCGTTTTCATCTATTTTCCCTTTGCCATAAAAATATGGCTTGGTTTCTACTGACATATCGCTTCGGGACGCATTTGTAAAAATGTGTTTATTTATTGAAGTACACCAAAAGCAACCTGCTTTCCTGGTGGTACCATCACAACACATACGAACAAAATTGTATGGCAAATTGCTAGGCCATTGTAGGAGGTCGGTGAAACGTTCTCAAATCACAAACGTTTACCGATACTCTGACCCCAGGTCCACAAAGTTTGGGGAATGACAAGTCGCGGCCGGTCAGGTGTCAATTTTTCCGCTAGCGGTTAAACTGAATTTGTGTCTGGGTCGCGTGACGCTAATTTTTCCGCTAAATCTAGCGGGCAAACGGCACTTAAGTATAGGTCCCGTGACATCATGTAACGTGACGTTAATTTTTCTAATAAATATAGCGGAGAAACGCTTCAAAAAACTGCTGTTGCAGCTCACGTGGTGCAAAAGGCCTGGGTGTTCTCGTTGGCAGGTCGCAAACCATGATGGTGCATTCTGGAAAGCTTACATCGCGCCTTAGTAGTGACGTCGATGAATTTCGAAGACCATGCATGCTATTCTTGCTATGAGGTCTGTAGACGGGCCAAAAATGTTCCAAGTTTACAGTAGAAGTTCGATTGGTGACGTTGTCAATCCGGCTGAGAACGTCACCGGGGACGTTGTCGACTTCTTTGACGTGACGAATCTCAGTTGTGATTTCGGCCAGGAAGGCTAGCTGGCCAATTTTACCTGGTGTGTAATGAGACCTGGAATTTCAGATGGTGTAAGTTAGAGGCTTTTGTTCAGTCCATAGGGTAAATGACCGTCTCTCTAAGAAATGCCGAAACTGTCGCACAGCCAAGTAGGCAGCCAATAGCTCACATCCGAAAGCGCTGTCGCGTGTTTGCGGTTGTTCACGCTTCTTGGAAAAAGAAACCAATCGGCCGCCACTCTCTGTCGACCTATTGTTGTAGCACCGCTCCTACGGCTGTGCGAGATGCGTCAGTCATCAGCGATGTTGAGGCGTCATGCTTAGGATGTACTAGCATTGCTGCTTCTGCAAGTGAGTTCTTCACCTCGCCGAAAGCGCGTTCTCCATCTTCCTTCCAAGGAAGGGACGACGTTTGTCGTTCCTGTCTTGTTAGGAGCATCTCGAGGTGCTCGAGCATTTCTGCGAAGTTAACAACGAAGCTTCGGTAACAAATTACCAAACCGGGAAACTGTCGAAGCTTGGTGTTTGAGGTCGCTCTCGGAAAATCTTTGATGGCTAGTAGCTTCGAACGCAATAGACAAATGCACGAGACGTCGAGACGATGACCAAGGATGTCCAATTTCGGAACCCCGAACACGTTTTTCGCGCCTTTAATGACAATGCCGTGACAGCGTAGCCGTTCGAAGAGGAGGTCTAAGCGCGTCGTGTGATCTCCATGTGCCTTGCTGGATATGAGCAAATCGTCTACGTATGCGAAGACGAAAGGTGACCCTGGCATTAAAGCGTCCATGAACCGTTGGAATGACTCAGCCGTGTTTTTGGGGACGAAGGTCATGCGGAGAAATTAAAAAGTCCAAACGGTGTTGTGATCGCTGTTTTCGGGATGTCTTCGGCCGCGCAAATTGGGTGGTAGACCGGTGTCAGATCAATCTTTGAGAAGATCTTCGTGCCTTGAAGGCTCACCGTGATTTACTGGATGTTGGGCACAGTGTATTTGTCCGGTACAGGTTTTTTATGAAGGGCAATATAATCGCAACATGGCCTCCAGTTTCCACTTTTCTTCGACACCATGTGCAACAGAGACGCCCAGCTGCTAGGCGAGGGTAGGACGATGCCAAGCTCTATAGTCAGTTACAGGTTAAGAAAAGTTTTCGAGGGAAAGACGACTCGAGAGCAGGAAGCAGACGGAACGCTGAAAAGAGTCGTGGTGTTTCCTCCTCTCCTCTCCAGCATTCCGTGAGCTTCCTCCTCCCCAGCCCTTCTTTCCCTTGGAAACGTTTCTTAATGTATAACTGACCATAACGTGTCCTCGAACTCTTGGCGAGCATTGCAGAGTTTCTCTGGGGCAAGATGGCGGGGCCGACAGTAAACAGGTGGTCTTGACGTCAGGATATGGTGGTGTAAGTTGTGCGAGACTGGTTTGTTCCATCAGGTGAGAAAGTAAGGCTCGGAAAATTATTCAGCGAGGTCCTGAACGTTTTTCCGTGATCGTGCAGGCAGAGGTGTAGACTGAATCGCCGTCCTTGGGAGACCATGGATGGAAAGTTGCGTGGTAGGAAGAGGAAGAAAGGGTAGGAAGGAAGACAAAGAAGTTAACCTGGGGTATTTTGTCCCGGTTTGCTACTTTGTTTGGGGGGAGGGGGATGAGGGTATTAAAGGAGAAAAAAAAGAATAAAAAGATAAAATAAAATTTAAAAAAACATCGTAAGAGCTACAAATTTTGAACACTGTAACACTGCGCTACTCACTAACAATGAATGTCATCTTCTATAAGCAAAAGTCCAGGCGTGTTGTTTTTTAAGAATCTAACAAGTGTTTTTGTAGCCTCGGCTTCTTTGTGTGGGTTGTCCCAACTACCAAGCAGCTTGTCACGGAGAAAGGTCGGTTGTATCGGCATGCTAGCGTGCTTTTGAGTTGTGTTCTTTCTGCGCCGTGGATGACACAATCAGAGAAGATGTGATGAATTGTATCAATGGAGTCACAACTTGGGCACTTAGGTGTCGTGACCTAAGTGGTAGAGTCTATCAGTCGCCTGCTTCTAATAGCCACGAGGAGCTTGTAGTGGTTGAGAAAGTGTGCGCCGAGAATTCCTTGACTTACACCGGCCACTAGGGAAATCCACCAGAATACCCACTGGAAGCCGAGGTTAGGGATGATTGCCCGTTTTCGGTAGACAGGGATGGCGCTGTTGGGTAGTGGGCGCAGAAAATAGATCGGTGTTAAAGGACGGTCGGTACGCGTTGCTGGAACTGCGCTCATCTCGGCTCCGGTGTCGACAAGGTACCGGTTCTTGGTGACTCGGTCACTCACGTAGAACAGGCGACTTTCGTCGAGGCCCTCACCACTCGTGGTCTCTATACGTCGGGCGTCCTGTTTCCGTGCCATGAACAGGGGTGGAGGCAATGACGGGCGTTGGCTCCGAAGTGGCGGTGGTAGTAGCAGGCTCTTGAAGGTCTCGGTGACCACGTGTTCTTGCCGCGTGTCTGACGAGACGCCGGATGTTTGCGACGTGACTGATGAGGGAGGGGGGGGGGGGGGGGGGGCAAGGCATTGTGTAGCTGCACTCTCGGGAAAAAGGTGTCTATTCTTACACCCCTTGAGCCATATTGTCACGAATGACAAGTTACGAGGCGGCGAACGACTGACCAAACTGAACGTTTAATGGGGCGAACTTGTGCCCAGAAATAAAATGAAAAAGAAAGATAACAACAAAGCGTCGCGGACGTCGAAGGCGGCGAAGCAGCAGGATCGAACGCTGAGGCGAAACTGAGTCCGGCTGCCCACGCGGAGCCCCTTTTGTACACGCGCAGGCTTCTGGAACAATCGGCGTGGAAGGTTCGGCATGTACAACATTCTAACCTCGAATCAGCAACACGGTTCTCGAATTCACCAGAACATTACATCAGAGTCAACAAAAATGCGTACCCGCGGCCAGGAATCGAACCCTGGCTTTCGGCGTGGAAGGCACGCGCGATAACCGTTAGGCCACGAGCGCGCTGCCTACTTAGTCAGCTGCGCTCGTGGCATTATTCCCCCCTTCAAAAAGGTGCATCGTTCCGATGCAGCAAAAAGCGAAAACACAAGTACACAACAAAAGGATAGCAGAGTCGCCAGCCACAGCTAGTTCACATATTACTCTTTGACGAGAGTTCGAAGAGAGTTCAAAGTTCTATCGTTCGTAATGTGGCTTAAGCCGGACGACGTGCACCACCTCAGGTTGTGGCTGGCGTCTTGAAGATGGGCGCGTTCCGTCGGGTAGAACTTGGTAGTTCAGATCGGCGAGGCGTCAGATGATCTGTCCTAAATAGCGTTTGAGAAGCTTCTCGCAGTGACCGCGGCGCCGTTACTGGTGT